TATCGCCGAACATAGCCACCGTTGGAGCGACCAAAGTCCAAACTGAGTACAGCAAGGTTGGTGTCATGCAGCCATCACATAGGGAGTATGGTATATTGACATGCAGCACAGGATGGCCAAGCCTTCATTATTAACTTCACCGTTGCACCGGGACTCACAACTGTCCGACTGAGCAGCTCTAAAAGGAATATAGTCCTTGTCATCGCTGACTAGAGTATGACACAGCATCAAGTCTTTGGATGCCTACTGTATCTGGCAAAGGAGACTTCTCTGACTCTATAGATGTTGGCGCGTCAGCACCTCTGCTTATCTCTGGCCCCTATCTTGTCCGAACCGCAACTCTCTCGCGGAATACACTCGCGTTAACGGGGGATCTCTCCACTACAACACCACTCACGGTGTTCGGCCCCAGTACCTTGAGCATGATTACTTGGAACGGACAGCGTGTTACTGGTCTTCGAAGAAATAATGCAGGCACATGGGAAGCATGGCTCACGGGTCCTACGACGAAGGCCCGTCTTCCGGATCTGATGACAGCTCATTGGAAGTACGCCGACTCACTTCCTGAGACCAGGAGCACTTTCAATGATGCGTCGCTCGTGATGGCTGATCATACCACCACTACTAACGTTTTTCCCCCGTACTATGGCGGGCCCTGGATACTCTACGCCGACGACTATGGCTTCCATGTGGGCGCTTCTCTATTTTCGCATTACTTACCTTCTCATGTCACTCTCTTCCCAATCAATAGGCTGGAAATCTCCTCTGGCGCGGTAGCTTTGAACATAAGTCGTCATTACCTGCTCCCACAGCGGTGAACATCAGCGTCTCAGGTGGCATTCATTTCGCGGCGTCCGTATGGCTAAACGACCACTACCTGGGTGCTTCAGATACGCGTCTCGCGACTAATAATGAAACCTGGCCAGTAACTACAGACATGCTCCGAACAGGCGAGAATCATGTTACGGTCTTGCAAGAGTAAGGATGGATTTTGGCTCCCATCGTTCATACGTATCTCAAGTTGGCTCTCAGTCATATGGGCGGAAATCTGGCTGGCCAGGTCGTCTGTTGCACTCCCGGTGGTCGGCAGCGTGATCTACAGCAACCACGAGGCTTGCAGGTGCGCAGTAATACCATGAGAGCGCCATACTGGTGTTTCATCTTGGAGTGCGACCGTTAGGGCTATTACCTCGAAGGACGGCCAGAGGACGCCCAGTTCACTGCATGGAAACTGGCAGGAAATTTTGGAGGGGAAAACTTTCCTGACAAGACACGTAAAATATTGAATGAAGGTGAGCGCGAGTCTTTGAGTCATGGTATGGATGCACGAACTCATAATTTCCAGGTGGATTGTATGCTGAGGTGTGAAGGCCATTATGTAAAAGACGTCCAGACCTCTGATCTACGTACTTATGAAGAGAATGGGATGGCACCTCCCCAATTTCGATGACTCGGCATGGGAAATGCGTACGCCTTTTCAAGGACTCACAAACCCTGGGGTAAGTGTTGATACGAGAGTTCAGATTGGGATCACGTTGGTTTCTGACTTTGGTGCACTGTATTCTGCAGGTGGGATTCTTCCGCACGACGATCAATCTTAACTTGCCTAAAGACCATGATATCCCGCTCTCCATCGTATTCGATCCACAAACTGGACATTATCGGGGTGCGTAGAGGTTTCCTCAGCTTTGATCCTTGTTCACTACGTGTCCTCTGGACCATATTAGCCCAGCTCTACGTAAACGGCTGGCAGCTCGGAAAGCGTGTGGCAAACATTGGTCCGCAGACCTCCTTCGTCGTGCATAAAGGCATCCTCAACTACGCCGGCCCCAATGTCGTTGCTGTTAGTCTATGGAGCCTTGGAAAAGAAGCCCAGAATTTGAAAATCCCCAGTCTGAAGCTGGTAGCAAGCGCGGTGTACAAAGGCGGTGTGGATGGGATAGAAGTGAATAATCCTGGTTGGGGCACCTTGCGCCACTAGTAGCATGTATCATGGACCACGACTAAAAACTTGCAGATGGGCACCTACGTGCCGCACGCGATTATCTATAGCTGGCTTTTCTCGTCTAAAAGCTGGCGCTTACCCGTTGGGGCATATCGAAGCCTTAAGAGAGCCAGTCTGGCTAGCGATGACGCCGGAGGCTTCAAGGCCAATGATAGGTTCTAAGCGTCATTCTATTCTCATAGATATCCACTGTTCATGCGTTTAGAAGAGTGGAAAGCGCTCCTTGAATAAGTCTTGCCCCAGGAAGTAGTGTTTGACCACCATGTCTCTCATAATCGAGGAGATGCGACACAATGTTCGAAGATGTATGTAGATTGATCCAGAGCTCCCTCTGCATGGAATCCACGAAACCTAGCGTATGAAGGCGAAGACACTGTCCTGCCGGAGAGAATGACCTTGACGTCCCTGCGCGCACCGTACATGCTAATTGAGTGTCCAGTGGAGGACAATGGTGGTGGGAACACCGGATAGGACAAGGGGAAGAGGTAAGTCTTGAAGCCGCCACGATTAACGAAGGGCAGGAAACGCTGGAGATAGGAGACGTGAAAGGCAGTTGACACGACTTCTAATGATTTAAGTGCAGCAGTTGTTTGCAATTGCGGGTACTTGCATGTTGGACGCGAAGAAGGGCAAAAATAAATGAGTCGACCCAGGTTCGAACTGAGGACCTTCTGTGTTGTGTTTTGTTAGACAGATGCGATAACCAGCTACGCCATCGACCCTGAATTGAGGATCTCAAGATTACCACAACCGGAACGCCCAGGCTAAATATCAGATTACCAGTTCGAAGAGTCCCTCCATCCTTGATCTAGTAGTAGCTGGACCTCGCCCCCTTCAATGTACAGTCTTGGGCCATGGTCCACTGATCACTGATTTGTCTTCGTCATAATCACCTCACTCCTCATGAAGCGCCCCATCGAGCCTTCTTCAATCGAGTGACCATTGTCGCAGGGCACTGCGTTCTCCAGAGCTATGTCAAAGTCGCAGCGCAGTGATTGCAGGGGTGCGTCCTGGGTGCACACGAGAAGACAGCTTTCGTCCTCAATGCTTTGCGCGTCAAGCACCAAGAAGCAGTGGGGCATGAACCCTTTCCGTTCGGGCTGGGTGATATTGGCATCGAACCAAACCCTGATCTCCTGCACAGTATGCCCGACAAAGGCAGTGGGAGATGAATCAACAGGAAGAGAGGATCCTTTCGAGATACTCGAGATCTCTTTGGTATTCATGATCACGATGTCCTCGGATATGTCTAGCTCGTCGCCTTCAAATTCTTGCATATATTCTGCGGAGCATTCCAAGAGAAGGTTTAACGTCTAAAGAGAAAGTTAGCACGAACATGAAACTCGCCGAGATCGGTGAACGGTTACAGAGGCAGGGATATCTGCTATGCAGAATACTGGGCATCTTGTACAATAAGTCGTTCTGGTTCCGATAGTTCCGAGTCATAGCGTCGACAGGTGTCGAAGATGGCGATGTATCGATCTATCTCTTTATAGGACTCGGGATCAAACTCAACTCTGAGCCTCGCGATGATCACGGAACAGAATGTTCAGGATTTGTTCAGGATCGTCAACAAACCTTTTCTCGCAAGGAAAAATCCATCTGCTTCCAACAGCCTCAACTGAGCACTAAGCAGCGTCATGTGAAACGCGAACGAGGGAAGGGAGCAAGCCTCGGAAGTCGACGCGTTTGTCAACGCGGGAGGGCGTCTTGGCATGTGGGTGCCTCAATTGCCCATAGATCGATGACACCGACCGAATAGTCAAGAAGACGACTTTCATTCTGTCATCTACGGGTCGATGCGCTGACCCAAATCTATCTAGATAGCTAGATAGCCCATGGCCACAGTCCCCAAAAGATGGAATCCGTGAAATCTGGGGTATGAAGGCGAAAGACATTGTCGCATTCTGACTATCTGACATTTGCAGACATACAGACCCTTTTTAGAGTTACCTCTCGATCTCACAGATTTGCTAATGCATAGCCAAGTCCGAGCCATTTAGATCTGAGACATCGGTGATCGACCTATCGCTATTCCTCGTCTTCACCGTCCTCGTGAATCTAAGCAGTCACAGGTAAGCTCACGTTATCTGCTGCAAGTAGACCCGATGCTGACTTGAGTAAAAGAGATGACATGGGACCCTGAAATATCAGAACAGTTCAATCGCGTCGACAGCGCCGCCACCAATGAAAGCAGATACAACGCCCCCTATAATTCACTCTTGACACACCTCTTCCCAATCCACGAGGGATACCGCGTTTCTCCGACTCCTGTCCTCCACGGTTCTGCGAATCCTACCGTGGTCTTCGTGGTTAGGAAGGAGGACCATCCCGTGTTCATCCTCGACGTTAAACCCGGTTCGGACACTAGAGACGTTGGCTCGCGCGCCGCGGCTGACCACGAAATGCGCGAGAAGTTTGAGCGCTTCGTCGGGGAGCTCAAGATACCAAAGCTGTATGGCCTTAACGCTATGGGCCCGCGATTCGCGGTGTACGAGTTCACGGCGAATACCGGCGTCCTGGATCCGGAGCCGCAGGCGATGGCACGCCATTCGAGGTTGGATATTGGCGACGATATCGCTCCGGCTTCTAGGTGGGACTATAACCTGCTGGAATCGGAGGGCGAGGAGAAGATGAGGGAAGTTGTGAAGAAGGTGAAAGATATGTGCCAGGAGACGGGGTTTGGGGTATCGTCGGTGACAGGTCGTCTGCGTGGGTTGCTTCGTAATCTGGGAATTGGAACTAGAGAGTAGCCCCAATTATGCTTTGTTCAAGTTGTTGATAGGGCGATGTACCATCCATTCGAAGTTATGCCAAATTGGAAGTGGCTCAAGCACTTGGACGGTGTACATCATGGATGCGAGTGTGAGTGAGAAGCTGAAAAACACTATGTTGTGGATTGATTGTGGCGCAGGGGCCAGGGGTACTTCAAAAGTTCGATGTTCACGGACGTCGGATATTCGCGAAACAGTTGAAGAGCAAAACATAAAAAAAATGAGTCGACCCAGGCTCGAACTGAGGACCTTCTGTGTGCAGCGGAGGACTTCCGAATGTAAGACAGATGCGATAACCGACTACGCCATCGACCCTTGAGTGCATGTCGGTATGACGGATTTTCGGTGCTAAGGGGAGGGAGAGATGAGAAGAGAAAAGAGGCAAAAGATGAGTCGACCCAGGTTCGAACTGAGGACCTTCTGTGACCGACAAATTTAGTCAGGAGACTATGTTAGACAGATGCGATAACCAGCTACGCCATCGACCCATACATCGTGGGTTTGGACACATGGCCATGTCGGAACTGACCTGTGCGGACCTTGAAGGTATCGGCGATAATGCTGGTTCGCACAATGGTACTTAGGATGAAAGCAAGGGTATTGGATGGAGGAACTTATTATTATGAGGGAAATCCGCGATAATTATGTATATCTAGTCCGTTAGTGGGCTCCCAGGACCAACAAGTAGCTCCCAGCCAGTTCACGACTTTATGACAGAACCAATCTCAACTGCGATGTGCGGCACCCAGTTTAAGAGGTAAGTACAGGTATCAACGATCCATAGCATTAGATGCGAACGAGCACGCCCATGTAAAGAACCTGGCAGATGGCTTCGAGGAAGAGGAATATGATGCGCCGGCGCCGTGCGGCGGAGGTGAGGGTCGCGGTGCTTGTGGGGTTCGGGTTGGAGACGAGTTGCACAGCGGGGTCGGGAAGGACGACGGAACGCAGGGAGCGGAGCTATGAGATGCAGAAGTGAGCAGGAAGGAAGGTGAGATGGGCAACGGTAAACATACGAGGAAGAAGGCATTCGCGAGGAAAGCGTAGATGAACAGGAATGTTTTGAGTATGGGCATGTTCAGTCCGGGCAAGCGGGAGAGGAAGTTTGGGAGTAGAGCAAATATCACGCTGGGATGTAGGTTAGGAAGGTGAAGGGAAGGGTAGGAGATGAGAAAGACGTACCCAACGAATTTGTAACCACCGTATGCAATGAGGTCAACGACCTGACTCGAGTCCTGTACGTTGAGGAAGTAGCACCCAAGTTTAACGAATGCGAAGTCGAGGATAATAACAGCAAGTCCGCGCGAAGCGGCGTCGCCCAATACTTTTGTATGGGACTGCTTCTGGAGACCTGCGTGGAGGGCACAAAGGAGAATATAGGTGACGAGAGCCATGAGGGGGATGTAGAGATCGGGGCTATTGATGTCCTCGCGAGGGCTCGCCCATTCCGCTGCCTGTCCCGAGTCGGAGCGGCGGACTTTGCGACGCCAGGCCTGGGGCTTCTGCAACCAGGGGAAGAGGACGAGCCTAATTTTGTTGATGACGTATGAGTTGGATACGTTGAAGTGGTGCTTGAGGTTGGTGGAGGGGAAGATGGTGCCAAAGTTTCGCTGGACGTACTCCTGGCCCGCGGCGACGGCGGTGTGGCCGAGCTGCATGCCGAATTGGGCAGTCGCGTCGTTCATGCCCCAGGCGGCGAAGTCGGGCTGGGGAATGGAGGGCCCGTTTGAGGGAGGGTGGGCATGTTGCTGGTGATGCTGGAGGTGTGGGGCGAGAGGGGGCTGGGAGTGCTGGAAGGGGGAGGTGTAAGCGGGGACGTGGTGGGTTTGGTAGGGGTTCTGCTGAGGGGCGGGCCCTGGCGAGGAGGAGAATCGCTGGTAGCCTTGGGGCGAGTTTGGGGTCGGGGGTGGCTCGGGGATGTAGGCAGGGTGCGTGGGCACCGGATGGCGCAGTGGAGGAGGAGAGTGCGACATGGCAGGAGCAGAGGAACACGTATTAGCTAATCACGCTGCGGTCGTCGTTTGAATCACAGTTCCTCCAACTCTCTCAACTGCCTACTATACCTATCTCGATGCCTGGACTCTCTTCTCGGCCTAATTTTGCCTCAGCGCTGCCTCTATTTTACTAGCAGTGATCTGAATGATCAGGTCATTCTTCGCTTGCTCAACCTGTGCCCATCTCAAATGCCCACAACATAATTGACATCGAGCTAGCTAATCGTCTCCTGATGATCAGACACTATCAGACAAAGTACCGGCTGGGTCTTCTAGCCTGTCATCTCGTTCTCTTCTGCCCTGTTGGTGCTTTAGCTGGTGGCTTGGAACTAGACTTCCTTGCTGGTGCTTTAGCTGGTTTGGAACTAGAGGCACGCGCTGGAGGGGTCCTACTACTACATATCACTTCTACTACACAGAGGCCGGCATTAATGCAATCTTTGGTTGCTGTTGGCTGTCAAACGGCTCGATCTCAACATGCATCCGTGTCAGCCCATTCGCCCATAGATGATAGAAGGAAGGTCTGCTTCATCATTTGGTCGGTGTCATCAATTAATGGGCAATGGAGGACCCACATGCCAAGAGGACCCTCCCGCGTTGGCAAATGCATCCACTTCCAAGCTTTGCTCCCTTTGCTCGTTCGCGTTTCACATGACGCCCTTGCCTCAAACCGGGACACAAATTTCAGAGATCTTGCAGCTGTTTAGTGTTCGTTGAGGTCGTTGGATATTTCCCTTCCAGAAAAGGTTTGTTGAGGATCCTGAACATTCGGTCCGAATCAGTGATCATCGCAAGACTCGGAGGTTGACGTTGATCTCGAGTCCTATAAAGAGATAGATCGATACGTCTCTGACCTTAGCACCTGCCGACGCTATGGACGACTTTAGGATAAGATGCCCAGTATTCTGCATAGCAGATATCCCTACCTCTGTAACCGTTCACCGATCTCGGCGAGGTCCAAGTTCGTACTAATTACTAACATTCTCTTTAGACGTTAAACCTTTTCCTGGAATGTACGGAAGAATATCTACAGGAAAATAACATGCCGGATGACGAGCTACACACATCCGACCGCATCGCGATCATGAACACCAAAGAGATCTCGAGTATTTCGAAAGGATCCTCTCTTCCTGTCGATTCATCTCCCACTGCCTTCGTCGGGCATACTGTTCAAGAAATCGGGGATTGGTTCGATGCCAATATCACCGAGCCCGAACGAGAAGGGTTCATGCCCCACTGCTTCTTGGTGCTTGACGCGCAAAGCATTGAGGATGAAACCTGTCTTTTCGTGTGTACGGAGGATGCCCCCTTGCAATCACTGCGCTGCGATTTTGATGTCGCTCTGGAGAGCGCGGTGTTCTGCGACCGCGGACACTCGATTGAAGAAGGCTCGATGGGATGCTTCATGAGGAGTGGGGTGATCATGACGAAGGAAAATCAGAAATTGGCGGACAGTGGAGGACTGTATATTGAAGGGGGCGAGGTCAAGCTAGATCAAGAATGGAGGGACTTTCTCAATTGGTAATCTTTAATCTCATATTCAGCCTGTGTTTGATCAGTCCTTGGATACTTAGACTCTAAGCAGTCCCCACTACATAGTCTCTCCTAGACAGGCACAACCAATCATTCCTCCGTCCTTTATCAATCTACTCTAATCGATGCAGTCTTCCGCTGCTGTTGATTGTCCAACGGCTCAATCTAAACATGCATCCGTGTCAGCCCATCGATCTTCATCGATCCATAGATGATAGAAGGAAAGTCTTCTTCGTTATTCGGTCGGTGTCATTGATCTATGGGCAACTGAGGACCCACATGCCAAGAGGACCCTCCCGCGTTGGCAAATGCATCCACTTTCTTGGTTTGCTCCCTTCGCCCGTTCGTGCTTCACACTGGCATGACGCACCCTTGCCTCAAACTGGGAGGCTAATTTTCGAGATCTTGCAGCTCCCTAATGCTCATTTGAGGCTGTTGGAATCAGATGGATTTTTCTTCTGCGAGAAAAGGTTTGTTGAGGATCCTGAACAAAACCTGAACATTCATTTCCGTGATCACGGCGAGGTTCGAAGTCGAGTTTCATCTCGAGTCTCATAAAGAGACAAATCGATACATCTCCATCCTCAACACCTATCGACGCTATGAACCAGAACGAGTATTGCACAAGATTCCCAGTATTCTGCATGGCAGATATCCCTGCCTCTGTAACCGTTCACCGATCTCGGCGAGTTTCATGTTCGTGCTAACTTTCTCTTTAGACGTTAAACCTTCTCTTGGAATGCTCCGCAGAATATATGGAAGAATTCGAAGGCGACGAGCTAGACATATCCGAGTACATCGTGATCGTAAACACCAAAGAGATTTCCAGTATCTCGAAAGGATCGTCTCTTCCTGTTGACTCATCTCCCACTGCCTTTGTGGGGCATACTGTCCAGGAGATCAGAGATTGGTTCGACGCCAATATCACCCAGCCAAAACAGAAAGGGTTCATGCGGCACTGCTTCTTGGTGCTGGACGCGCAAAGCATTGAAGATGAAAGCTGTCTTTTCGTGTGCACGCGGGACGCCCCCCTGCAGTTACTACGCTGCGACTTTGAGGTAGCTCTGGAGAGCGCAATGGTCTGCGACGGCGGTCAATCGATTGAAGAAGGCTCGATGGGGCGCTTCATGAGGAGTGGGGTGATTATGACAAAGGCAAATCAGAAATTGGCGAGCGATGGAGGACTGTATATTGAAGGGGGCGAGGTCAAGCTAAATCAAGCATGGAGGGACTTTTCCAACTAGTAATCTGATATTTGGCCTGGCTGTTCGGGTTGGACACTTGATCAATGGGCAAATGAGGACCCCACATGCCAAGACGACCCTCCCGCGTTGGCAAATGCATCCTTCCAAGGTTTGCTCCCTTTGATCGTTCGCGTTTCATATGACGCCCTTGCCTCAAACCGGGAGACGTATTATTCAGACCTTGCAGCTGCTGAGTGCTCAGTTGAGGCCTTTGGAATCAGATTGATTTTCCCTGCAAGAAAAGGTTTGTTGAGGAGCCTGAACAAATCCTGGACATTCGGTTCCGTGATCATCGCGAGACTCAGAGTTGAGTTTGATCTCGAGTCCCACTGGCAGTAAGAGACAGATCGATAAGATCTCCATCCTCAACGCCTGTCGACGCTATGAACGACTTCAGCACAAGATGCCCAGTGTTCTGCATAGCAGATATCCCTGCCTCTGTAACTGTTCACCGATCTCGGCGAGGTTCATGTTTGTGCTAACCTTCTCTTTAGACGTTGAACCTTCTCTTGGAATGCTCGGAAGAATATATGCGAGAATTCGGAGGCGACGATTTAGACATATCCAAGGACGTCGTGATCATAAACACCAAAGAGATTTCCAGTATCTCGAAAGGATCGTCTCTTCCTTTTGACTCATCTCCCACTGCCTTTGTGGGGCATACTGTCCAAGAGATCAGGGATTGGTTCGATGCCAATATCGCCCACCCCGAACGGA